TATATATATATATATATATATATATATATATATAGTATGAGCATAGTGCAAGACACTGCTCAGCGACAAATAATACTTCTCAGGGAATTTCGCACAGCGTTCTAAAGCAGGTCTCTTAATTGGGCGTAGCGGCCCTCGTACTAAATTATTCTGCCCGTGTTCCCTTGTGGTCACAGGGCTCTAATATTGAGAAGAAGACCAATGAGTACATCATGCCTGCCTCCTCGCTGGTCAAGGCTAATCGCGTGACCGAGACGTATACGCGCACACGCCCAGCCAATGGTGTGATTCTAGTGGACTGCGAAGTGTCAACCCCAGAAGTACCAATGGGTGACAAGTTCAAATATAAGGTATGTTCTTGACGAACAAGTGTGCATGTATGTGTATATATTCAGATTCGAAAAAAGGTGTTAAAATTATCGCAATAGGGTGTTTACGTTTTAAGTAATGATGAATATATGTGTTCATCACCAGGGTAGTAATTAGTTAACCGTTAAGCACAAAGTGGGGCTATCTTGCACACGTTGTTACTATACCTGTATCCGGGTGTTTTTATGCTTCAGGTTTGTATTCGACATCGTCTCTCTGGTTCCACCGACAGTTTTATTACCCACACAACATCGCCTAAATAGTAGCGGCAGATTTCAACCCCAACAGTTCAGCCGGGCCGGACATAAATTATTCATCTACCACGATTTACGCGTCGCATGGTGTTCCGTTTTTCTCATTTGTGCACAGAGAGACCCGTTTTCTCATCTGTACACATATTGACCTGTTCTTCCCATCTGTACACACAGTGACCTGTTTTTCTCATCTGCACACATATTTACCTGTCTTTCTATTCGGGACACATGTGGCCTGTTTATTCTCATCCTAATAGTGACTTGTTTTTCTCATCTGTGCGCATCGTATCCTGTTTTTCTCATCTGTACACAAAATGACCTGTTTTTCTCGTCTGTGCACATCGTGTCCTGTTTCCCTCACCTGTACACAGTTTGTTCTTTTTTTTTCATCTCTACCGCTACTCTTAAACCCATACAGCTCCGGTACACGCTCACCAAAGTGGACGACAACACGAGCCGCATGGCCACCAGTGGATACGTGGACTACATCAAGAGTGTGGGCATGATGAAGAAGTTTGTAGACAGTGGGGCCAATGGAGGAACTAAAGCTGCCATAGAAGAGCTTGTAGAAACTATACAACCCTACGTAAAAAAATGCAAGAGAGGTGTGTGAGATGTGTTTTTGATTCGGTGGGTGAGTTTGTAGGAAGAATAGAGAATTTTTTCGGACTGCTGCATGTCTGCGTACATGTGCTTATGATCGTTTCAATGGTACTTCGGCACTCTACTTTGCACTACCACAGATACAATAATCACTGAACAGATATCTATATATATATATATATATATATATATATATATATCGTCTATGTCTGTCTAAC